TTTATGTAGAAACCTTGTGAACGTGTGGTGAGTATGAATTTTCGTAAGAAGTAGTCATTTTTTTAATTAAAAGCTTGAATTAGGTCATTTATCTAACTTATAAATTACATTTTGGGAATTTCATTTGTTTTAACCAAGCCAAATCTTATGAGTCACAGAATAGAGGGAAAAAGAAGAAGTAATAGAAAAATTTCACTCAATAGTGTCAAACTTGCTTGTTGGCGAAGTAATTCTTTGAAGTTAAATCCATTTAAACGAAGCATCCACTTAATTTCAAGAATCAATAAGTTTAAACAATGACAAAATGACAATGGACAATAACTTAGTTTAACAGCAACGACATGGTCATACCTATGGAATGAACACACTCATGACATTAACTGAAATAAGAAATGGGGAAAAAAAGAAAGAAAACCGTTAGGTTAATCAAGGATCACGAAGAAATAATTTACAAAGTCTTAATCAATGAGGCATAAAAGTCAGTGATATATTTATTATTTATCTTGAAAAAAATTAAGAATCGGGCATGTGCACAGATTTTCGTGTTGTCTAAGGTTTCTTTCTTCCCCGTCTTTTTCTCTCTACGCCGTCACATTAAGAATCTGCGCCGCCTTATTGAGAAAAATGTATGTGTGTGTTATCTTACACGAAAAATAGACGAAAATGTGAAATAGTTTATATACATGAAAGGACCCTAAGACCTAATAAGTTAACATTTTATGTCAAGTTGGTCTTGTGAAGTGTGTTGGGTCAGTTACGCATGTAGTGTCTTCCCAACAAGTGGTATCAGAGCTGATGGTTCGTTCGGGTCAAGCGATCACACGCGGTTGCAGTTGCATGTTCAGACGGTGGAGCATTTGGTGGACTCACATGGTTTCGGCTCTCTTTCCCATGCTCAAGTTGATCCTGTTGAGAGTGTGATGCTTAGATGTGTCAGCTACTTAAAACCTTAGTTCGAGAGGGAGCTCGGTGAACACAAGCATGATGCATATGTGTGTTGTTCCTCATGAAAAGTGAATGAAGATGTGAAATAGTTTATATACATGGAAGGACCCAAGATCTAATAGGTTAACCTTTTGGGTCAAATTGAGCTACTAAAGTGTGCTGGGCCAGTTATATATATAGTGTCCCCCCAACAAGAAACACACAACTACACCCATGCAGCAGAAAAATAAACTAAAACAAAAATAACATAAAAATAGAGAAGATAAAGATTTAGGTGGTTCGAAAAAATTTTCTACGTCCCCGAAAGAGGGAGAAAAACATCACTAACAGTTTCAGAATTACACACCCAACAAACTTACTCCCTTTCTCTCTCTACCCAAAACCCCTTTGTCTATCTCTCTCCTTACTTTTCTTTGTTTCTCTCAAAATGAGGCACTCTTTCTCTGCACTTTTCTCTAAGCACACAAAGCTTTACACAAAGTATTTATTTATAGACTCCTAATAATCCTTGCCCAAAAACTAGAAAACAGTAACTTACCAAAAAATAAGAAATAGTAACTTTCCCAAAACCAATTTAAGACACTTATCTAACATGCCTTTAGGCTGGGCTCCGGACTCCCGGCCCCATGGTAGGGTTATCAAGTGTTGCAATATGGATCTCTTTGAGGAGGCATCGAATGGGGTGATGGCTGGGGAGGGAAAAGCGGATGTTGGGGGATATTTTCTAGGTGTCCATTTGGCTGTCGTCTTTGGGCACTTTTAGGCGTTAACGAATCTAGGCACTTTTAAGGTTTGGTTCCCTTGACATGGTGATCCCTTAAAGGGTGGTCGGTTTGGCGGTCAGGGATGGTGGAGGAGGAGGTGGAGTGGTCAGTTTCTCTTTACATGTTTGGGCCACGTGGATGCCTTAGTGTCTCTATGTTTGGGGTTCTTCGGCTCCGATTGGGTGGCAGAGGAAGTAGCTCGGCTCTTCTTCAGCTTTCCTTCAAATTGCCTACTTTGTAGTGGCTCCCTTGCTCATCTATGGTGGTGGTTGGCATGTCATTGGAGATCCTTCCGGTGTCATTTGATTTTTATGCTCTTGTTTTAATTTGTGTATTTGTCAAATAAATGCACTGATGTTTTCACCGTTTAGTTTTAGTGTGTTTCTATTGTGTTTTTAGTTTTTCGTTATAATAATGAAAAAGGTCTCCCTACTTTCCTGTGTTGTTTTATCTAGTTCGCATTTTTTTTTATCTTCGCGGTGTTATGGTAGACCTTGGTGTCTTTGGTCTCTCGATTTTAATCGATCGGAGTTACCTACTAATTTTAGTGTTGTGTTTTAAAGAGCCTTATGTGCGCTCAATTAGTTGCGTGTCTCATCGGTTTCCTCTTATTAAAACTCGACACACTTATTACCCCGTTAAGCGTTTTAGTCCAACTTATTGGTGGTTCTGATTTGTGGTTGGGGTTGACTCGCTAAATGCGTTATGGTCTTTCGCGTCTGAGTGAATGTTTGTAATTCTTTAATTTGGAATGTAATTTCTATTTTTTTAAAATGAATCTCTTTCCTCTTTAGTTCTTTTCACAACTCAAGTTTAATTGCTAGCTTTCTCTCACAAAAGTTCAAATTCAATTTTTATTACTGCAATGCTTTTATTGCACATAGACAACTCAAGGGTGTGTTTGGTTGGGTGGAAAGGAAATGAGTAGAATGAAATGGAATTCAAGTTTGATGTTGGGTTGGATTTATAAGAATGGTCATTCACCCATTTTGACTGAATCATCATTCTTTCCTCACGTGAGAGGAAAAGCCATTCTAAATTATTTTCTTTATTTTTTTCCATAATTACTCTTCAATATTATAATATAATTAAAATATATTATATAGTAGTTATATCTTATAATATGTAATATAATATAATATACGATAAAAATATTATAATATAATATAGTTATATATTACAATATATTTATTTAATATTTTATAATAATATATATAATATATTATAAAGTAATTATATCTTATAATATAATACATACTAATATTAAAATATAATATAATATTATAATACAATAATATGATATAATATAACATAATTGTAATATTTTAACATATAATATCATAATTATACAAATAATTCTAATATAATTATTTAATTGCATGATATTATATTATAATTATATTATATAGTATTAATATAATTATGTTCATTATATTAATAATAATATAATAATTAATATAATTAAATATTAATATAATCTTTTAATTTCAATATTATTATCTATTATAGTATACGACTATTAATTATAATATATTTATTATTTATAATATAATAATTATATATTATATTGTAATTATATATATATTCATAATTATATAATATATTATATAATAATAGTTATTGTATTATATTAAATATAATAATTATATACTATATTATAGTATAGTTGTAATTTTTAATTATATTATAATTAAAATATTATTGTTTATTATATAATCTTATAATATATTATAAAATATTATAATTATATCAACAATTTTAATAATATTATTATATTTTATATCATAATTATATAATAATAATTATATTATATTATATTTTATATATTATAAAATATTCACGTTATATTTAATATAAGGACAATTTTATTAATATGAAAATATTTATATTTCATTTCATATTATTTTTAAAATTACAACAAAATAAATGAATCAATTTTCTTTTTCATTTTATTATCATTATCATTATCATTCTCAATACTATTACTATTTTCCTATCACAACTAAACGTGTCCCAAATTCTTAACTAGGGTTGTGAAACAAACCTACTATATCAAATTTTTATTTTATTTTAATATTATGAGCATCGTTCTTCAAGGAAGTAATCAGGAAGGTCGCTTCTCCGTGTTTTTCTGTCCTCGCTGTGCAGTGTAGTTCTAATAAAAACTAATTATCAAAAGAAGAGAGAGAGAGAGAGAGAGATGTAAACCCAAGAATACATCACAAACACCAGCTGGAACTACATGGGTGACGGGTGTGCTCTTTGGCACTGCCTCCAATCAAACTAGATTACGTCGACGAGGCAATCACTGTCCATTATTTTATATTACTAATTTTTTTATTATTATTATGTCTTCACTTTTTCTTTTTGGTTTTTTCGTCAGATAAACAACTATTATGCACTTGATCAGCCCAAGAAAAGAAAAGAAAAATGTACCGTAGAGATATGGAAAAAGTACATCAATGTCGATTTTATTTTAGTGCAATTTAATGTAATATTCTTTTACCCAACAAAAGAAAATTTTAGGCCATATTTAATTGATATATTATGTTTGTATTGTCATAATACAATACGACAGTTAGTGTGATGACGTATTATATAAGAAGTAAAAATGTAAAACTTTAAAGATTTTTTTAGTCAAAATGCAATTTTTGACAAATTTTAGGGTTAAAATTTAATTTTTAAAAATTTTTGAGATTAAAAATATAATTTTTAAAATATTTTTGAAGGTTAAAATATAATTTTATATTGTGTTCTCTCAATTTTTAAATAATTATAGATTCTGTTGTGAACATATGTTGGCCCGGTCCTAACATAAATTATGAATCCGCCATAAATACAATACGGAAAAAGAGTCGTATTTTAAATGCAACATAAAATGTATTAAATATCAATATTAGTTTTTTTTTAAAAATATATTAATTTATACAATATAATAATTACATTAAATATTATATTAATATATTACTATATAATATAAAATATTATATTAATATATTATTATATAATACGGTATTTAAATGCGATTAAATAAATACGTTCTTATGTAATATTCAGGAAACGTGTAATTTTTTTTGGCTGAAATCAGGAAACATGCAAATTTTTTTTCTTTAAAATATTTGGTTGAAATCAGGAAACATGTACCTAACCAAAAAATTGCACTTAACAGAAATACATTACCATAAAGAACTTTTTTTGAAAAATTGGAAATTTCCCGATTCCTTTCTCTTAATATTTATAAATTATAAATGATTAAAAAAGCATACACGCCTTTCCAAAGCCCATGTGAGCTGCACTCTTCTAACCTTCTTCAACTTTTTTTGCCCACATTCACCTGTTTATATCTGTACGAAGATTTTTTTAGCCCCCATCCTTTATAATCCAATAAACAACGCGAAACGCTTTCTCTTTAGGCATTTTCAGTTTTTGACTTGTGTCCTAATTCCAAATGTTATATAGTTTCACAAGCTAGGCAAGATTATATATATATATATATATATATGTTTCTCACACCGTTTGTGGCTCTACTTGTACGCGGTTGTTGATGTCTTCAGGGCCTTTATTGATTAAAGGCAAAACCTTTTCTTCTGCACGGAATTTCCACACACTCTACCCGGTCTCTTCTCCTTACGTGTGTTTTCAGGCAAAAATTTGAGGAAAATCCAATCTCGATAATGTGAGTTTCAGTACAAGGAAAGGCAAGGGAAAACAAGGGACGATATATTCGAGGGTCTTTTTTTTTTTTTTTTTTTTTTTTTTTTTAAAACCATGGGGACCTAGTAATACTAATAATTATCATTTTGTGGTTAGTTTTGGATTCATATAGAAATAGAACCGATTTTTTTTTTTCTCTCTCTCTCTCAGCTTGTATTGTGGGGGATGTGAAATTCCCTGGCGAATTAAAGATGACGACTTTGAGTGGGTTAGGTCTTGGTTTGGGTCTGGTATTTGGGTGTTTACTTTTGGCACTTGTTGCGGAGCTTTACTATTTGCTTTGGTGGAAGAAGAAGAGAATCACAGACGGGTCAGAGATAGAAGAAGACGAGTACGGAAACTTTGCAAAAGAGCTCTTCCACTTCATTTGCTGGAAGAGAAACGCCTCAAACGACAAAGATAACAAAAACGACACTTCCCAGAGGAAACGAGACCCAGACGAGGAAGACCCGGAATTGGGCTGCTCAGGCAAAGACCACGTTTTGCTGAAGCCCATCAATGGAGACCATCAGGAAGGTGTGGAATCCGAGCTGATGAGACTCCACAACATGGCGGGCCCACCGAGATTCCTCTTCACCATCAAGGAGGAGACCAAGGAGGATTTGGAATCCGAAGATGGGAGGTCCAGAAAAGGGTCAAGAACTAGGAGCTTGAGTGATCTAACGGTGGCTGTGGAAACTCCCTTTCTCACTCCTTTGGCCTCTCCACGGCTGAAATCTTCTCCTCTGAAGAACAACAATCTTTTGGATTCTTACAAACACCATGGATTCAATCCTCTTTTTGAATCGTCCACAGAGGATGAACTCAACAGGCTGAGATCTTCTCCGCCGCCAAAGTTCAAGTTCTTGAGAGACGCTGAGGAGAAGCTCTACAGAAGATTAATGGAGGAAGCTGAGAAAAGGGCATCTCAGAATTCAGCAGCTGTTGTAACTGAAGATCAGAAAGATGGGTCTCTTTTCACATTCATGGTTGGAAACAACAACAACAACAGCAATAAAAATCATAATCTGCCACAGTTTCCTTCAAGCTCTTCTCAGGTACTCCCACTGGCCTCTTCTCCCAAAGCTTTCAAAGCAGGTCAACTTGATTGCAACAAATTACCCATTTTGCATTGATTAATCTCTAGCTCTTACCACTTTTGCCCACCAGACAGATCTTGTTAATTCTTTTTTTTATATATATATATATATATATATATGTTGAAATTTTCAGGATCATTACTTGTGTATTTATCTAAAAAGGCATTTTCTTTACTGATTGTTTTAACCTTTTTTTTTTTTTTTGTCCTTCTTTTAGAATTTAGTTTTTGGTTAATGTTTCATTTGGGTATCTGGGAAAGAAAGGCCATGAATGATCTGCTAACATGTTTGTTCAAGGGTGCCTTTGATAATTCAATGGGCGCCCCTAACCTGACAAAACCTGCGAGCTGATATTAATCTGTTTGTTAGTTCAAGTGGGTGACTAGTGGGGCAATCTTTTCTCTGTCCACTCTTACATGTGTCCCCAAGGTGTCACAGTTTAGTTATCATTCAATGTGGCTGATGGTACTACTAAAGCTAATTGTTAAGTACTCAAAAGGCCTCTTGTTCATTCTTTAAGAACAGTGCTTCAATCACTTTTCACTCTTCTTAGGTTTTTCTTTTTAAGATATTTTATGACAGGAATTGTTATTTTACCCCATAAATATTGTTGTTTTAGTCATTGTCGAGTAGGATCAGTTTTTTTATCGCATATTATAAAGTTTTAATATGGGGACTCACAAATTTTATCGGTAAAAAACTAATTCCACGATTAAAAACAATAGTCCTTACACTGAAATAGAAGTTACTATCCTTTTATTTCCTATACAAGTAAAATACTTTAGACTGGCATTACTGTAAAGCTGGGTCTAGCTTTGTCCGAAGATTACCCTTTGGTTAGAGAAAGCAAATGTCAACATGAAAATGTTCTGTTATTCTTAAGCAGATTTCACATGTAGCAGTCAAATTCAGTTTGTACATATAGTGAAGGAATGGGTAATGTAGGTTTCAAAGTTTGTAGGTTACTAGAGTCACACGTTTACGCACAAAAGTGATTTACAGCTAGCTTGTTATTGCATTTTTCTTTAGAAGGATTTGAACTTGGATTATGGAATGGGGCTAATTTCCTTTTCTTACGGTCCATTACAAGGCGACAAAGCTTAAGTAGGTAAAACATACCAAAAAAAACGCCATTTAGCCCAATAATGTTAGAACACCAATTAAGTTGACTAAATGGATTTGAAAAACAATTTGCTCTATCAAAGTAATATTGGGTCCCCCATTGTAACAAACCATCATAAAGGAAAGGTTCGTATGATCCACTAATTGCTATCAAATTCAATTGGTAATTCAGCATTATTGCATGGAATAGCAATTATAGTATAGGTTCTCAAGTTATGCCTATACAATAATATGTAAGTGCAATAACGACTAGTCAGTGGACTTAGTTGGGTAGTTGTTAGATTAACTTCAACAGTGTTGAGGTGCATAGATTAAATATATCTAGCCCATATTCTCAAATATATATATATATATATATATATATATATATAGCCCTTGTGTGTTCCACTAATTTAGTTCAGTTTAACTCAGTTTAAACGGTGAGCACAGTTTGAATTCATGTTTAATAAGCACACAGTTTAAATTATATTTCCCGTTTGAACTGAGTTAAACTGTCCAACTTAGACTTTAACTCGCCTTAAAGTTCAACCGTTCAAATCATTTTTCAACAGTAGAAAAATGCTCACTCTCTTTGCTTTTCACACCTACCAAACACAAACTCAATTTTTATTCCTTGTTCAAGTTAAAATTTTTACTACACATCGAAATACCACTTCAAATTTCAATTTAAACAACACAATTTGAATTTTTGTGTTCAAATAAAAAAGTTTAAATTAACAAAATTTGAAACAACGAACTAAATGGGAGCTAGTATCTACAACTTATATTAATGAGTCCAACGATGATATTTAATCAGTATATCTATGCAACAAACTTAGACAAACAATTATACTATTTTTTCTCTATGTTCGAATAAAAAATATAAAGTCTGAAGTTGGGGTATTAACGGGCGGGAAACGTTTAAGATATGCCTTTAGAGAAATTCTTATTATTCAACCAAGAAAAAAAGCATTTCAGCCACACAAAAAAAAAAAAAAAAAAAAAAAAAAAAAAAAAAAACCGAAACAGTTGGGAAAAAGCAAAAAAGTTCGATACAGTTGTGGAGTTGTGAAGGCTCCATTAGCTTTTACCTAAACAACAAGAAACGTCGTTGTTATCACGCAATTCGGCCGAAAGTTGCCCCCACCATCAAACTCAAAAGTATAATTTGCTTAAGATAAAAAAATTTTAAAAAAATTTGAACCCTTAAACTTAAAGACATACAACTTGACAATGATTGTCTGCTTTTAATATGTAGAATTCGAATTAACAACTCTATCTGAATTGGGTTAGGCAGAAGGATGAAGGTTATTTTTTATGTTTTTTGTTAGGTAATTTCTTTCGTTAGCATGATAAGGTGCTTGAGAATAAGCATATAATAGCTCCAAACTTCTAAGTGAGAGACTACTTAAGTGGTCCAAAGATTTCAAATTGTAAGTAATTTTTTTTTGTGGGGTCCAATCCCTCAACACCATGGTGGGATCCATAAATACATATATACAAAAACATAAGATTTAAAAGATGGAATTTCTTTAGTAGTACCTCTAAAAATAGACTACTGATAATAAATTTGTTAACTGTCATATCTATATAAGAATTTTTCTGTTCTGAATACATTTTTAATCTGATGTGATTTTGATCAGATTTAACGGTAAAAAATTGAAACTACCGGTAGTATGAATTATTAAAGAAACTTCCATAAAACAATGAAAAAAAAAATCTTGGTATTTTCTTTTTCCCCTCCACAAGTTGCAAGTTTGAAATTTGGATTTTGAAAATATATGAATCAAAAAAACCCAACACAACACTATTGCATCTCAGGCTTATCTTGTTCATCATCCACTAAAATGGCAAGGTGGGGGGTGGGGCCAGCCAATATATTTGGCCGGAATTTCTAGGCCTCTTAGAATTCCCTGCCAGGAAACATTTCAACGTTTATCTTGTTGCCTTTTGAGCTTTAAGATTTTATAAATCTTTCATTTCAAATTCTACTGTTCACATAATTGAAAAAAAAAAAAAAATCAGAAGGCTTTCGTTTTCTTGTTGATGAGACGCAGATCAAACCATTATGATAAACAAACAAAGTTTGTCGTCTCAAATTTTGCAAGCAAGGCTCCAATCTAACTAAACCCAAAAATGTGGAATCCATTTGTAAAGAATACTTAAATTATGATTTTTGATTTTGATATTTAAAATTTAAATTTTTTTAAGACGCTTATACTGTTACAAAATTAATAATTTAAAATTGAGTATTTAAAATAAACAGACCATGAAACTGAATATAATAATTGATTACTAACTTTGGACGCCATTGGTGTACCTATTTTCAAAAGGATAAATAGATAAAAGTAAAGTATACTAAATGGCAGATTACCCATCTTTCAAGAAAGATGATATAATCAAGTATGAGCTGGCTACCATGTTTATCCTATGTAGAACATTCAATTAGGTTGGGGAGTTTTACATTTTTGGATTGATGTATAGTCTTACCAACCCCACCAAAACGCTTGTCGATAGAAAGAGGCAAAAAGTGTGGTTTTTTTTTTTTTTTTTTTTTTTTTTTTTTTTTTTTTCCAAAAACAATATGGTAATACACTTCATGTCCCTTAATTCTTTCGGTTATAGTAAGTAATTTTGGGGACTATAAAAAATATGTGAAAATAGCCTAAATTAATCTTTTACTAACTATCTAATCAGTTTTTACTCTTTTTTATCTTGTGAGGTCTGATTTCTTATAAAAGACAGGGCACCAACATGCGAATACTGAGTATTAAACCCTGAAAAAATAGATAAAAGGAGATATAATAAAGTGTCATTATCACTACATCAGGACCCTTGGTGGCAAATGTGTAGCTTTCTTAATTAAGCAGTCAAAAGACGCTGCTTTTTTTTGACAAAAATTTAGACTGTAATTACTGTATTTTCACATGGTGCCTTTAGATGTCCAATTGCCTACGTTGGTAGTACTACCATTTGACAAAGATTCCGCTTCCATTAGCTTTTTAGGCATGGCCCATATAAGAGCGTTTTCATGGCTATTGTTTGAGACGAATTGTTACCTTTGTTTCATACAACATGGACATGATTATGGATATCTCTTTATTTTAAACTTTTTATTTACTAAGTCTGCTCTTCTCAAACTGCGATATTTATGTATAATCATTTCTATGTTGTAAAGATATGATTATAGATTTTTTTTTCTTTTTTTCCTGTTCTTTCAATTGACAATGTTATCTAAGAAGTCACTAGATCTAGTGCTTCTCAAGTTCCGCCAATGTCAAGAGAGATAAAAAGGGGAAAAAAGTAAGAAAATAAAGAAAATATGAGAAAAACATAGAAGATTTAAAAGGAGGATTAAAAAAGAGGTAACAATTGGTTAACTTATAAAACACAAAAGTAAAAAAAGCTAAACTAATGATTTTCTTTATGTTCATTTCACAACTCAAGTTATAACTTGAGTTATGAGTTATACCTTTAGTTGTGTATATATGTGAAAGAAAAATATTATAGTAATAAAATATGAGTTGTCACTTTAATTGTGAAATGAATAAGACCAGTGTATTTGATTTGATTCGTAAAAAAAAAACAGAGAAAAGCTTTCTTTTTGTTTGATTCTCAAAAACCTTTCTGTAGATTGAACAAAGAGAGTTAAGCAAGATAATTTATTACACAAAAGTAAACCATCGATTTACTAATTGAGAAACACACTTTAAAAGGCGAACCGTGCTTGTTGTGCTGGTGAGTTAAACGAGGGAATCAATGAAGGATGAGAAAGGGATAAATGATATGTTCATTTCACAACTCAAGTGTAACTTGAGTTATGATTTGAATTGTGTTTGTAAGAAAAAAATACTATAATAAAAATATTAAATTTAAATTTTAGTGAGAGAAAATACTGTAGCAATAAAACTTGAATTGTGACTTGAGTTCATGAAAGTTCACTTAAAAAGGAGGCCTTTGTAAAAATAACTCTTTTAAAAAGTTTTATTAGTAAAATAACTTTTCAAAAATTTTTATTTGCAAAATAACCTCTTTTACAAAGAATAAGTAAATGTCTTTCTTCATAAAAAATT